CTAAGTTGATCGTGATCACAAAGATCGTGATCTGAGTGACAATGAACTATAAGTTATATGAGGATATATGTGAGTAATATGAGTAAAAATAAGAGTTATAGTAGTAAAATTAGGTGTTTATTCGTGGTTTAGAGGAGGGATCAGAAGCAGTGGCTAAGTTCCTTATGGCGCGCTTTAATTCATGGTAGGATGTGTCAGCCTTAAGGAACCTTTCATGCCAGCTGTCTGACTCATGTCCCACACGGTTGAGACGAGATCGAAGATCGCAGATCTCGTTGGCATAAGAGTCAACTTTATACTCAAGCTGGCTGATGTAGAGCTCTTTACCTTTCGCTTCCTCTACTTTTTCAGCCAGCTTGAGCTTTAGTTCCTCGAGAGCTACGTTTGACTCCTCCAGCTGCTTCAAATACTTGTGGCTGGTCTTGATTAAACGTAGCTCTCGAGGAGTAGCTCGTGGACCCGTTTTCTTTGCCGTTTGCTTGTGATCGAGATCTGGGATCTTGATCTCGGTCTTCGGACTCTCGCCACCCATCAATATTTCCTCGTCGCCAGAGGACTGTTCTTCAGTCACCTCTGGCTTCTGGATGGCAAGAGTCTTAGCAGGAGCTTTGTTGTTCGCTTCCATTAAAATGTAAACTTTACGTGTCAAAAAAATTCTGTCACGTAAACTATTTATGTTGAGATTGAGTACCAGACTCTAATATAAGTTCAACCATTATATTAGAGTCTTTAGGAATTTCATATGGTTCTTTTACATAATATTCCTTTTTTTGACCATCAGTTGATTCTTCAACTCTTTTGAATGAAAAGCGCTTATAAAACTCAAACACGAGTGCATCTTTATAACCAGTGATATCGTAAAATTTTGGTGGCACAAGCTGTTCATTCACATTACATATAAATTGTTTGTTATCATGAGCAATATTACTCAACGTTACTAAAGGCTCAAGGAGAGGATTTATTCTTATCTGATAACCGACAAATTTATATGTTGGTTTGCCCTTTCGCTCAAGGATAAACCTGATATTCGCTATAGTTATGAAAAGCTCATCAAAGTACTTATATGTTTTTTTATCTTTATCATTTTCGTCAGTGAAATCTGCTATGGTAAAACTATAATATACATGCATTCGCGAGATATATTTTTTTTCCCATAAGTCTAAAAATTTTGCTTTCGATGGAATTACTTTTTGCGTGAATGTTCTACCATGGTCATCTTCCCAAACAAGCTCTGGTTTTCTTGATGTTGTGTCTGTTTCAGTGGTTTCTAATAACGCAGTGATGAAATCCAACACATCTCCTAGGGACATGTCATATTTATAATTCAAGGCATTTTTTTCTATACTACTGTATGAAGGTAATGTTATGATTGGTGATGTACCTTTTCTTAATACATTCAATTTATTTTCATTTGAATCATAGTAACAATCAACAAATTCTCTACTTGCCTCAGTCATTTTTTCCATAAGACCTTCATTCAACTCCTGTGTAGTCATGTTGGGTTTTATGTAATATCTCATGTCAAACCTTTTTTTCACTGATTTTGATGAATCTGTCATTTCTAATGGAATAGCAAGAAACTCAAAGTCTGGATGCTCAAGACTTATCTTTCTTATCTCAAGAGCTTTTGACGCAGGATATTCAATGAAGTCTCTCGGTAATTTATATGAGACTGTATTACCACTTATCGTGCCATCATTCATAACATGTTCATAGTATAATCCATCATATTTAGACATTTTATATGTAACTAAAAGATGGAGAAAGTTATTAATCAAGTAGATAAGATTCTTCATGATGGAGCACGTAAGAATAGTAAAGAACTAAACAATGCACTCATTATGCCATTTTCTGATGATTATCCATTTTGTACTAATGGTGTTTATTTCTACTGCGGTAAGATGGGTTCAGGTAAGACATATGGTGTTATTCGTCATATAATGATAACAGACCGCTTCACTAATACTCCATATTATGACTCAATAGTTATCTCAGCAACATCAGGAACAATGGATAAAACAGCGAAGACATTTATGAGTCAAGTTAAAGCACCAGTACTGAAAAAGGATGATAAAGAACTTATGCCTTATTTAATGAAGAACGTTAAGATGAAAGCAAAGTATTACGCTATTGTTGAGTTCGTTCAAAGTAAGTTCGAAAAAATTTCAGAGGAGATGGAACACATCTTAACAAAGCATCAACTAAGGAAACCTGATGGAAAGTTTGAGTATAAGAAGATTGCAATATATGTTGTAAAGAAGTTGAACAAATATCCTTTCACAAAGTATCCCAGTAATTCTCTATTAGTGTTAGACGATTATGGTGGTCATGACTTATTGAATGACCCACGTTCACCATTAGCGAACTTCATCACTAAGGTCAGACATTATAACTATACTGTTGTCATCATGTGTCAAACATGGAGACATATATGTTTAAACATTAAGAGACTATGCACTGACTTCGTTATCTTTCAAGGTTATTCTATGAGAGACTTTCAGTCAATGATTGAACAGTCAGGAGCAACAGAAGATTGGGAAGAGTTATGGAACAAATACAAAGAGCTACCAACACCTCGTTCATATATGGAAGTTCATATAGTTGCAGGAAAGACGGACTTTAAAGAAGTTAAGCAACAAAAGATGACATTATTTTAAGAAGAAATAAATGGTTGGCGATTATGTTAAAGCTGGATGGGGTATGGTGAAAAAAAATCCTGGTCTTGTAATAGGTGCTGGATTTAACATTGCTAACAAACTTTTCCCTCAAGTTGGTCAAGTCGGTGGTGTTATCGGTAGTCTTGGTGAAAGAATTGCAAAAACTACATTAGGTGAAGATAATGCATTAACGAAGAATCTTAAAGCATTCAATAAAGCTCTTGGTGGTGACTTCAGTAGAGACAAGCCTGTTGAAACACCTATAGTTCAACCTCAACAAACTATTGACAACAATAAGTATAACGCATACATTGGAGGAGCTATTTGGAACAATCATAAGCCATTAGTTCAGTCAGTACGTGTACTATCAGACATGCCATGGATTAATGCTATTAGTGGCACTATACGCAGATAATATATTTTTATGAGGTTTAAATGAGTGAACAAGAGAGGAAACTCATTGATGAACGAGTTAAGAAATGGGAGAATGAACGTCCGATAATTCGTACCATAATTAGCGATCAAAAGTTCAAGCAGCATACATTTGATTTTTTGCGCGATATATATAATGATCTTGCTTTTGATTACAATGCTAGGCAATACTTTGAGAAAGAATATGTTCAAAAAGGTCGTATTAATTTCCCAATGAGAAGAGAAGGCTTTTTGATTACATCAACATATACAGCACGTGGTAGAGACCCTTTTACAGACGCGGTTCGTAACTTTAAAGCACGTTCTTCTATTAATGATGATCCAGATTTCTACATACCTTATTTTCGTCCACCTTCGCATCCTTTACGAACCAGTGATCCTGGATATGACGCTAAACGAAGATATATAGAGACGAAATTAGCTAAATACAAGGAACCTAAGGATCCAAGGACTGGAGAAGTAAAGGAATCACATGTCAAGATAAATAAGCTTTACAAAGTAGTTGAAGAATTGGAGAAACGATCTAATGAGATTAACGCTGAGAAGAAAAAGGAAGTACCAAATATGAACAAACTAGATAAGATGATTAAGGAATATAGAGGATTGGCGAATACATCGAGCGTTCTAATAAAGGAAGTAGAAAACACGACAAAGCTGCAGAAAATGATTCATGATGAATTACTGTTAGGTGAATTTTCTATAAAACAAAGACAGAGTAACTTAATGGGTGAGGCTTATTATTTGGAGAATTGGTATAATGAGAGGTTAAAACAAATGTCGACTCCAACACCAACTCCTACACCTACTCCTACAGTAGCTCCAACACCAACTCCCACTCCTGAACCAACAGTAGCTCCAACGCCAACTCCTACAGTAGCTCCAACGCCAACTCTGACACCAACTGCTCACGCAGGTCCTCCACCAATGTCGAGTAGTCATGGTATAACATTAAATAAACCAACACCTACACCAAAAATAACTCCTGTATCACATCCTAGTACAACTAACCCAGTATCTGATTCAAATCAAGCGGAAAGATCACAGGTTCTTAAAAGAGCTAATACACCAACTGCTTCCCCTATTAGAACACCAGAGCCAACTCCAAGAATCACAAAGGCGCCAACACCTTCACCGACTGTTGAACCAACTCCAGAACCAACAGTACCTCCAACTCCATCTCCAACTCCAGACACCTACAAAAGCACCTACTCCATCTCCAACTCCGACTAAAGCTCCGACACCGTCTCCAACACCAACTAAAGCTCCAACACCGTCTCCAACTCCAGCTGAACCAACTGATGCAGAATCTATTCAAAATTGGTTAGACGAAGAAAAGCGAAAAGAAAAGGCTGCAATTGATGCTGCACTAGATAAAAACACACCACCACAGACACTTGGTGGTTACATGTTAAAGAAAGACAACATTCAAAGACAAGAACGTGCATTGAGTGTTGCCAGAGAACAAGCACAAGAAGAGAAGAAAATAGTTGAAGGAGAAGCTTCAAATAGAGGTGGTCCAGGAACTTACAAAGGATCAAACTATCCAGCAGAGAAAGCCTCGAGTGATAATGTTGTCTCAAGAGCTACTGATTTAGTTACCCATGGTATTCTAACTGGTGCAACAGCTGTTGGTAGTGCTATTGGAACCAGTGTTGACACTGTTGTTGATACTGTAAGAACTGTTACAAATCCTACACCTGAAGATAGGAAGGAAGAATTTCTTACTCTTAATACAAAGGCAAAACCAGGGATATGGATTGGTCGTGGAATTTTAAATGCTGGTAGTGCTATTGGCAATGGTGCTTCAGCGGTAGGGGGATGGCTCGGAAGAACAGCAACATCAACCGCAAATGGAATACTAACAGGTGCCAAATCACTTGGTAATTGGGCTGATGATAAGTATACAAAATATTATGAAGAAAAAGCTCGTAAGGCTAAGGAAGAAGCTGAACGAAAGGCGAAAGAAAAAGCTCGTAAGGCTAAGGAAGAAGCTGAACGAAAGGCGAAAGAAGAAGCTGAACGTAAAGAACTAGAGGAGCTTAAGAAGAAAGAAAAAGCTCGTAAGGCTAAGGAAGAAGCTGAACGAAAGGCGAAAGAAGAAGCTGAACGTAAAGAACTAGAGGAACTTAAGAAGAAAGAAAAAGCTCGTAAGGCTAAGGAAGAAGCAGATAGAAAGGCGAAAGAAGAAGCAGATAGAAAGGCTAAGGAAGAAGCTGATAGAAAGGCGAAAGCAGCAACACCATCGCCAACTCCATCTCCTTCACCATCTCCATCTCCTTCACCATCACCAACTCCATCGCCATCTCCATCTCCTTCACCATCAATAGCGGCTCCTGTGAGACAATTTGGTGCATGGGGTGCTGATTTAGTCAAAGATGCTGCACAAGGAATTGGAAAGGAACTGAAGAACACAACATTAGGTACAATAGAGCGTTTTGGTAATCTTACGGATTACACAATTAGATCAGCTGCTAATCTTTTATATAACCAGACTACTGATAACGGTACTGATGAATTGGCTGTAAACGGACTAGCATCAATTAAGAAATCAGCAGAAGATAAATACGATGAATGGAAAAAGAATATTAAGGGTGAATATAATAAGTATGCATATCCTGAAGAACATATGAAGTTAGAGCTTACCAGACTAAGATCAAAATATGGTAATGAAACAACAAATACTACAACGCAAACGACGAAAGCTGACAGAAAGATTGATGACACTCCTACTCCAACTCCTGCAATGGCGAACATCACAACAATTGCTCCAAGAGTTCCAACAGGAGAAGGTATATCAGGAAATGTTTCAACTACTCATAACATTACTGAAGCAGCTAATGTTTCAGCAGTTGAGCAACCTGTTGTTAATGTAACTCAGGAAAACGCTACTGAAACATCAACACCAAGACAGGATGTAAATAATGAACGTCCAGAAGTTAAGGAGGTTGCAAAAGCATACCTGGAGAAAAATACTACACAAGTTCTTGAAGCAGAAAAGCATCTCAATTCAGACAAAACACCATCTCCAACTCCTGAAGCATCAGTTCCTCCAGCAATTGGTGGAAATATACCTTCAGTATCACCATGGCAGAAATTTTATGGATTGTTTAAAGGAGCGAATAAGGTAATGGATGCTGCTGAGAATCTCCAAAAGTTCAAGAATGAAGTCGCAACTGGTGCAAAGGAAATAGAAGAGAATGATAAACAAGCTGCTGAATTAGCTAAACAACAAGCTGAAGCAACTAAACAAGCAGCAGCTCCTAAACAATCTATATCTAAGTCTCAAAGACAAGGTCCTGACCCAAGTGCTAAAGTCAAACAGAATCCAACACCACCTGCAGCAGAGAAGTCCAAGAAGGACAAGGACAAGAAGAAGGATAAATCAAAGAAGGACAAGGACAAGAAGAAAGATAAGGATAAGAAAAAATCGTCAAAAGATAAAAAACATAAAAATTTATCCAGTAAGAAATGAGTCAAGTCATTAAAGCATCAACTAAACAAAAGTGGTTAACTGAATATATAAAAGATGGTAAGGTTCCTGATGGATATTATGTACATACAATGAAAGACGGACGTGTACAGTTCCGTAAAGTCAAGCAACCTCTCAATGATGAACAGATCAGAAGGAAGATCTCATTGTATGAAACAAAAATAAAGGACTTACAAGCTAAACTCGAAACCCACGATACTTCTCAAGAAAACTAGGCATATCTTTAACATGACCTTCATTAATATTTTTCCTCCAATACTGTACTTCCATTTGTGACAACCTGTTTGGATTACCTTCACGCATACCTCTACCTGTCACTTTTCCTGTATTTTCGTTCTCAAACGTAACATCATACTTTACATCATTACCGACAAGTTCATGACCATCAATACTTTTAACAGCACCGTGTCTTCCTTGATCTAAAGTTTCTCCTTGCTTTAATCCATGCTCTATTTTTGTCCATATCTGATAACGTGGATATCTTGCAACACTTCCATCTTTTGCTCTTAACAAGTATGCACTTGTATCAACTGAATCAACTGTATAATAAGAAGGATCAAGATGTCTTCTTTGTTGGTTACCTTTACCCCATGTTCTTGGTTCAACTATGACTTGAACTTTTTGACCAGGTCTTAAGTTATAAAGGTTATTTTTTCTGACATACTCTTCTTTCAATCTTTGCTTCTTTATATATTCCTCATTATCCTTTTCTGTGAAATCATCAGGCTTTTGTTGTGTGCTTGAATGATATTCAGTGTTGTAGTCATTAATAATTTGTCTCATTGTATCTGCAGTGAAAGGTGGTGTTTTATCACCTTCTTTGAGGTTTAACTTCATATGTAACATAGTTCTAATAGTTCTACAGAACCTATTAATAATACCTAGTATGTTATGATTGTATTTCTGTGTCGTCATGTGCTCAATGTTATGACTGACCAACAGATCTCGAACATTTTGTGTCGTATAAGCTGGGTCTTCATCACTAGTAAGTATTGTAGGCTTCATTTCACCTGTAGCTTGTGAAATGAACTTCTGCATTGCACTTAGAACATTGTTTGAGTTCTTTTCACTCATTGGGAACGCATAACCTTTTCTACTGTTTACATTGATGAACAAAAGAAAATATGGTGGTGTTCCACCAGGATTCTCAAATGTATCGAATTGATAAGCTCCCATATCAGTTGAATATATTGGTAGCATCAAATCCTCTTGTATTAAAGTTTTTTCTTGTTTACCAACAGTCATTTTTTTATTAACGTTAAAGTCTTACAGGCATTGAGTAATCGCTATAACCATCATGGTCTGCGAATTCATGTAATCTTGATGCATCAGGTTCTTTCTTCGTTGGTGCATGAAACCTTGCTTCATCATAAAGGTTCATATAATGGTTTGTCACGTTTGGGGTAGACCCAATTTTTGCATATTGAGGATATGAGTAATGATACACTAAGTTGAACCCATTACTACCATCATCAACATATATCTTTGGTGGAGGTTGTCTTATTAAATTCCTTCCTCTTGGGGCTTTGAGTTGGACGATCTGATCTAGATCATTGTAAACAACTCCTGTTGCAGTATATTCTGTGTTGTTCTCTGGGTTAATGTTCGTCATTTATATGAGAATAAAACAATTTTTACTCATAACAAATGAGATCGAAGTCAATTCTTTATGGTGCAGCTAATCTTCCAATTGAACCAACAAGCAATGTTGATTCAAGAACAACTAATAACATTGTGATAAAGAACTATCCATCTGGTACAGTAAGTGATGCTCCAACAGAGATAAAAAAAGAGGAAACAACTACGAACTCAGAAGCACCAATGTATCCTCCTCCTTTAAGTCCATTAACTTCCAACCTGACCTCATCGAGATCTGTGGAGACTTCATCGAGGATTGGTGTAGAAGAGTATTTACTTAGTATATACCAGAAGATACTTCTAGACCAAGACAAAGAGCTCTTTTCTAACTTAGTGAGCAAAGATCAGATCTTACTACCTAAGCCAGACTTGGAAGAAGTTGTTCACAGAATGACTGGGTTCAAGTGTGAAATAGACCTACTGGACCCAGACATCACATGTTGTGGTATTCCACCACCTTTCTCAAAAATAGCTCAGATCAGAATCTCCTGTGTCATCATAGTGTCTTTAAATCAAAAATTTACTTTTGGAGTTAGTTTTATTGATTTTCAATAAAAAACATTTTCAAAACAAAGAAATAAAAGATAAAATATTTATATCTTTATATAAGGATTCTTATATATTTAAAATAAAATATCATTTTATTTTTTTCATTGTGTTGTCAAAACCAATTAATACACTATTCAAAAATTCAATTCTGGTCTTGCGTTCAAAAGACACCTTCAAACTGAACGATAGCACCAACAAGTTATAATTTTACCCATTTTATTTAGTTTTTACTTTTTATTTAAGAATTAATGACTGAAACAGCCGTTGCTTATGACCTCAATTCACTTTTATTAAGGGTTTCGTTGGGTTGCGAAAAAAACACCGTACAATACGCAATTCGCTTAAAAAAACATAGCTAGCAATTTCGACCTTTGACATCCACTCAAGACGTCACTTTTTATAATTTTTGCAGGGTATATATTTTGGAAATCTTTATGCAATATTAATAAAAGTCTCGTTTCAATATCTATTTTCATATTTTTATCATTTTTAAAGTTTTTGCGAAAAGTTATTCATTATTCATTATTTTTGCTATTTTGTCGGGGTAAATGTCAGATTTGCTATTTTCTGATATGAAATCGTTCTACGTATAATATGCTGATAGAACCCTCTTGCTATTGTTGTCAAAATTGCGAAACGATAGCAAAATACTCGCAATATCAAAATTGAATTATTGACTGAATTATGCCCTTATAGAGATTAAAATCTGATTTGTGATACAGTATACATGTCGTCCCTGTAGCCCTCACAGCACAGCACCGACACAATGAGAAAAAGTGACAGAAACTACACCATACTGGCCGCGCATAGTACGCAATATGTGGTAAAAATAAACGTCATATGAAACTAACCTTTATTCACTGCAGGAGCTTTGTTGTTGCGCTGCCATTACAATGTTAAATTTACGTGTCCAAAAAAAATTCTGTCACGTAACTATTTATTTTGAGATTGAGTACCAGACTCTATAAAAGTTCAACCATTATATTAGAGTCTTTAGGAATTTCATATGGTTCTTTTACATAATATCCTTTTTTTGACCATCAGTTGATTCTTCAACTCTTTGAATGAAAAGCGCTTATAAAACTCAAACACGAGTGCATCTTTATAACCAGTGATATCGTAAAATTTTGGTGGCACAAGCTGTTCATTCACATTACATATAAATTGTTTGTTATCATGAGCAATATTACTCAACGTTACTAAAGGCTCAAGAGAGGATTTATTCTTATCTGATAACCGACAAATTTATATGTTGTTTGCCCTTTCGCTCAAGGAAACCTGATATTCGCTATAGTTATGAAAAGCTCATCAAAGTACTTATATGTTTTTTATCTTATCATTTCGTCAGTGAAATCTGCTATGGTAAAACTATAATATACATGCATTCGCGAGATATATTTTTTTTCCCATAATCTAAAAATTTTGCTTTCGATGGAATTACTTTTTGCGTGAATGTTCTACCATGGTCATCTTCCCAAACAAGCTCTGGTTTTCTTGATGTTGTGTTCTGTTTCAGTGGTTTCTAATAACGCAGTGATGAAATCCAACACATCTCCTAGGGACATGTCATATTTATAATTCAAGGCATTTTTTTCTATACTACTGTATGAAGGTAATGTTATGATTGGTGATGTACCTTTTCTTAATACATTCAATTTATTTTCATTTGAATCATAGTAACAATCAACAAATTCTCTACTTGCCTCAGTCATTTTTTCCATAAGACCTTCATTCAACTCCTGTGTAGTCATGTTGGGTTTTATGTAATATCTCATGTCAAACCTTTTTTTCACTGATTTTGATGAATCTGTCATTTCTAATGGAATAGCAGAAAACTCAAAGTCTGGATGCTCAAGACTTATCTTTCTTATCTCAAGAGCTTTTGACGCAGGATATTCAATGAAGTCTCTCGGTAATTTATATGAGACTGTATTACCACTTATCGTGCCATCATTCATAACATGTTTCATAGTATAATCCATCATATTTAGACATTTTATATGTAACTAAAAGATGGAGAAAGTTATTAATCAAGTAGATAAGATTCTTCATGATGGAGCACGTAAGAATAGTAAAGAACTAAACAATGCACTCATTATGCCATTTTCTGATGATTATCCATTTTGTACTAATGGTGTTTATTTCTACTGCGGTAAGATGGGTTCAGGTAAGACATATGGTGTTATTCGTCATATAATGATAACAGACCGCTTCACTAATACTCCATATTATGACTCAATAGTTATCTCAGCAACATCAGGAACAATGGATAAAACAGCGAAGACATTTATGAGTCAAGTTAAAGCACCAGTACTGAAAAGGATGATAAAGAACTTATGCCTTATTTAATGAAGAACGTTAAGAATGAAAGCAAAGTATTTACGCTATTGTTGAGTTCGTTCAAAGTAAGTTCGAAAAAATTTCAGAGGAGATGGAACACATCTTAACAAAGCATCAACTAAGGAAACCTGATGGAAAGTTTGAGTATAAGAAATTGCAATATATGTTGTGTAAAGAAGTTGAACAAATATCCTTTCAAAAAGTATCCAGTAATTCTCTATTAGTGTTAGACGATTATGGTGGTCATGACTTATTGAATGACCCACGTTCACCATTAGCGAACTTCATCACTAAGGTCAGACATTATAACTATACTGTTGTCATCATGTGTCAAACATGGAGACATATAGTTTAAACATTAAGAGACTATGCACTGACTTCGTTATCTTTCAAGGTTATTCTATGAGAGACTTTCAGTCAATGATTGAACAGTCAGGGAGCAACAGAAGATTGGG